GAGTATCTCCCCGTTGTTAACACGCGGTCTCAGAAACTAAGAAGGATTTGGTTACAAAAAATTCGTTTGTTTCTTTAATATCAAATTGAAAATATAAAACCTTTTTCAATTGGTAAAAATGTAAGGAAACAAAACTCGAAACGTTCAAGCGTAAACCCCAAGCAATTTATATGACCAGAAAGCGATTTTTGACCCTAAACTAATTTTCTGTTGGGTTTTTAATGTTCTCACATTGCTTGAATGACTGAGTTTCAGTCAAAAAATTATAATTTGTAAGTTGCCTGATGAATATGTTTTTTTCCTCGACTAGTCAGTCGTTGCTATATTTTATCAATAGAGAAAAAATATCCTTTTCTGTTGTATTATTTCTTCGGGGAATATTTCGATTCTTTGTTAACTAACGAATAGGACTGGTGGGAGTTTGAGATGTAAATAAATCATGTCAATCAACAGGTATATCAGAAATTCCTATGCTCTCAGAGTTGTTTGCAAGGCTAATATTACAAGTTATCAGAGGTAACGCAAACAGAACCGAATGCAAACAAACCCCTACTCATAACACCAAACAGGGGCGTCTTTCTATCGAGCCTATTTAATATCAACTATTGGAAAAATCTTGCCTTATTAGACAAAGTAATTGAATAAAATATCAACACAAAAATAATCTTTATAATAAGGTGTGTGGTGATTAGTGAATTATACAGAAATCGTGAGATGCGGGCTGGTGGGATGTAGGTTTCAGAAAAACATTTTCTTTATCGTGCCAACGTTTCGATCTTTATTGAGATCATCTTCAGGGCTCAAAGTGTTTGTCTTCTGTGTAATTGTGCCATTTTTGCGTGTCGTGTTGAGAGTGCCCCTCTCACCACAATTACACAGAAAACAAACACTTTGAGCCCTGAAGATGATCTCAATAAAGATCGAAACGTTGACAGGATAAAGAAAATGTTTTTCTTCGTGCGGCACTCTTTTAAAATCTGTTGTATTCGAGTAACAGGGTCAGTTTCCCACGGTTGGCCTTGGCATTATACATTATACATTATACCTCAAGCCCAGTTCAACTTGAAAGCTTCAAATACGACCCGATATATGACAGATTTTTTTAAAAGATGCGTTACGGTGAAAACAAATGTGCAATCGGATTTTAAATTTGTCAAAGATGATAAAGTTATAGTAAAAAGACAAAGTCATTTCGTTTGCTCTTTATTAATCAAATTTCATGTTCGAACTGCCTGCCTTGCCTAAAGATGCAAAGATTTTTTTCTTTTTAACCACTCTTCAACTGTGCTCAGAGCGATAGAGTCAGGAGAGATGGATTGATAAGCCTTTTCTCTCCTTCTATCAGATCTTCAACTCAGGTTGCTGGATTGGCGTAGATACGTTTTTTAAATGGTCCAACAGAAAATAGTCAAATATAGTTAAATCAGGTTATAGAGGAGGCCGACAGATCGTTCCATCAGGTCATATCCACCTATCCTGGACTCACCTGTCTCACCAGGAGAAAATTGTGTGCGGGGCATCCATCAAACTGGAGAATCATTCTTTGTCGTTGCAGAGGTAGTACATCTTGGTAAAACTTCCCTCAAAAAATTGAGAAACCAAGCACCATTTAAATTATTTTTGTAGAAATAAGGCCCAAATAATTTATTTTGCGAGAAGTCCACACTAAACGTTGATACTGTGAACCACCTGATGATGACAAGAGTTTGAAATTCTCGGATTTTCCTCTGGCCGCGTTCGAACATTCCAAAGGTTTAAAATGCCGTTACAGGTGAACTCGGATTCATCAGTCCATTAAATGTATGGAAGAAGGACTTCTTCAGCCCCCCAAATCGACATTCTTGCAAGGAACGTTAGTCACCTGTCATAATCACAGTCCCTAAGTCCCTGGCCAAGATCAAAGCGATACGGCTTAAAATTGTAAGTCCGGAGTACATCTCTAATTTTATTTTTTGAACAACCTAAAACCCTTCCAACGTTTCGGAGAGAGGAACTGGGATTTTTCCGAACATACAGAAAAATTCACTAGTTTCGTGGTCTGCTTGACCAATTAATATCTTTCAGTTAATTAAGGTATTTTAGTTGAGATAAAAAAGTCAGTGTCACGAGCGGGATTCGAACCCACGACCTTCGGCTACATACGCCGCTGCTCTACCACTTGAGCTATCGTGACCTCGATCCACTTGGACACTAACTTTCCATCTCAACCCCACCTTTTAAATTTTCCCTCCTTTTTGCCATTTTTCAATGGTGTGTTGGGTTCGAATCCCGCTCATGACACTGACTTTTTATCTCAACTAGAAACCTTATTTAATTGAAAGATTGGTCAAGCGGACCACGAAAACTAGCAAATTCGTAACTTTTGACCGAATTGAGATAGAACAGTTCGGTAGGTTGCATTTTACTCTACTTAGGATGTACTATAGCCCAATTTTTTTCTGGTTTATCCTGGATCCTGTATATTATATGAGAAACAATAAATTTTCAAGTTATTAGAAGCACGAAGTGAATAATTATAACAAAGCGGTGGCGAGGGAAAGATATAGGAGAGGGTGGTTGAATATCAACTTTGTCTAAAATAGTTAGTGCGGTACCATGAATCAAAAGTCCTAACCCCGGGTCTGAAATTTTCGGTCTAAATCCTCTTGGCTCTGGGGGCGGGGCGGCGCAAGGATTCCGCAGATTCCGAGTTAGATACAAACCCGGTTATAGGGAGAGAAGCGGAGAATTGCGGCCGGGGGGAGGGTGGTTATTTGTCAAAACTAAGAGGTCTCCAGAATCCCTTTTCCCCCCCGAAACGGCCGGCCCATTAAAATCTGGGAATCTCCACCGAGGAAAGTCGTTAATTACAACCTCCACCACTCAGGGAAGTAAAATCTTGGGGATGAATAAATTTTCCCCGACCCCCGCCTACGGAAATCTTAACTCCCGACCCTGCGGTGTAATATAGCAGTAATAACTCTGGTTAATAGTCTATAATACGGATTTAACGGTCTTACGGCGCCCTCGGCCCTCCCCCGTATCCGTGTCGCACTCGAAGGATCCAGGAAATCTCAAATCATGTCCTCCGCCACCTAGATAAATAAATCAACTTATATGCCGGAGTAAGTTATATGGAACATCAATTAGCCAAATAAAAATGAGTCTATTTATTTTAATTATTAATTGTAAATCGGGAGAAAAACCTGGGACCAACTGGGCCAAGAAAATTTGAATTTTGGAAAGTAGTGTGCATGTACACATGGTTTTAGGTTGGGTACCGAATGCTTTCAACAGCTAGATCATTTCAGCAAAGTTCCTAAATCCAAAACCATTCACACTCCCATCAATGTTAAATTCATACCTTTCACTCAATTAAGATGATGCAGTACTCGATATTCCTTGATCATGCTTTACACATATTACATAGCTAACATAATTGAGGGTAGGTTGATACTCAATATTCCGCCAGTGACCATTTCACACCAGACATTTACTCTAATAAATACGTTCATTTTCAACACACGCTAGGGACACACCACTCCATTCATAATAAAACAATCCTGTTTTTTACAAAAATCTGTCAAGCACGATTCTTATATGGAATGGCATTCCTACGTGCTATCTATATGGAACCAAGCAATCGCACTTTTTAATTAGGTAGGATCGAGCCAACTTTGTCCCTAAAAAAGTACTGTCCTGAAATTAGGTGCCAGAGTGTCAAACTCGCATGACCTATTCTTAATCGGGTGAGGATGATCCCCTCTTCTACGAAGTCAAATCCTTCAAGGGCAACCTAGTGCCTATGATACGATTTTCATATCGGATGGCATTCTTTCACGGTCTCTACATAAGGCCAATGAATCGCACTTTTTAATTAGGTGGGACACATCGAGCAACCTGAACCACAAATAGGACACATGGAGGTTTGTCCTGAAATTAAGCCCCCGAGTGTCAAACTCGCATGACCTATTCTTAATCGGGTGAGGATGACATCTTCTTCTCATATCGAGTGGCAGTCCTACGTGCTCTCTATATGGAACCAAGGAATCGCACTTTTTAATTAGGTAGGACACATCGAGCCAACTTTGTCTAAAAGGGTCCTTGTCCTGAAAGTAAGTGCCTGAGTGTCAACCTCGCATGACCTATTATTAATAGTGTGAGGATGACCCCATCTTTACAAAGTCAAGTGGTAGAACAGCGGCGTATCTAGCCGAAAATCGTGGGTTCGAATCCCGCTCGTGACACTGACTTTTTTTATCTCAACTAAAATACCTTAATTAATTGAAAGGTATGAATTTGGATGGTTTTTGAGAAAAATCCCGACCTTAAGCCGTAAATTGGCATTTTTTCATTCTAAAGCGTCTGTTCCAATTCTTAACCAAATTTTTGAATCCTGCACTAAATTTCCGTAAATCCAGGAATCTTAAAAAACGTTTCCAAACGTGCAAAAAAAAAAATTTTATATTCAATCAAAGTATTTCTACTCGCTTTACTTTGAGTACTTTTGATTGCATATAAAAACAACATACATATACATATAACAAATACATGTAAGATGTGTAAAAAAGTGAATTTATACAATGCAATATATATATATATNTATAAATTCACTTTTTTACACATCTTACATGTATTTGTTAAATTTTTGTTAACAATGTTTGTAAATCCCAGGCCCTGAAGATGATCTCAATAAAGATCAAAACGTTGGCACGATAAAGAAAATGTTTTTCTGAAACGTATATCACACTAGATTGCATCTCACGATTTCCGAATAATCATCGACTAACGTTCACTAATCACGACACATTCTTATGTAAATTCGTTATGAAAAATTTGGATTAACGTTTGTTTATTTTTGGTTTGTATTTTCTATTTTGTTTTATCCAACTAACAAGAATATATCGGTTTATTTAATAATAAAGTTTCATTAATGGCTAATTGTTCGGCATTGGACGATTTTGAAATTTGGCGGCTGGAACGGCAGACGGAGGCGCTGGATTGGTGGGAAGTGGGAACTTCATCTGATTAGATACGGCGAAAGGTTTCTATCACTGTTACCCGTTTTGTTTACGTTCTTTTACCGGTACGACAAATCAGTGAGTTATTCATAAAATCACGAGACAATGGTATGAGAAATGCTTTCTCAGCAATCTTTAAACAATTGCGTATTAAAGGCGAAATTGGACAACGTTAAAAATCTCAGCCTTTTGCTGAAATGCGTCCAGTTCAAGGAGTTCGCCGTCTGCTACGCAACGCAAAGAGGGCTCAAATTTCTCGTTGAGGATTCGAAGTGCGTCCAGGCGGCGGCGTTCGTGGGTAAAAACATTTTCCAGGAGTACGTAATCGGTGAGGAGCTGCTTTTCTTCAAAATCGAGCTTAACGTGCTGATCGAATGCCTGGCCATCCTGGACGGAGAAGCCGCATTGAACCTCTACTACGAAGGGCACGGTTTTCCTCTTCGTCTCGTCCTGGTCGAAGACGACATCTTGACAGACTGCTCTATCAAGACGATGGAGACCGTCGAGAACGTCCATTTCAGCATGCCAGTCGAGGACGTGGTGAACAAGATGATCGTCGACGGCCCCAGGTTCAAGGAAGTCCTCTCCGACCTCGACCCCGATTCGGAATACGTCGAGATGCTCGTATCCCCCGATCCGCCTTATTTCGTCGTCACCACTCTCAGCATATCGGGCAAGTGCCAGGTTGTCCTTCCGAAGGATGCGGACATGATCGAAGAGTTCAGCCCAGCCGTGACTTCAGTCACGCGCTACAAGTACTCGCAGATCAAACCGACAATGAAGACGCTTCAAATCGCTTCAAAAGTCTCCGTCCAGCTCAACGGTCAAGGCCTCCTCTGCTTGCAGTTCATGGTCAAGAACGAACAGAACCAACTCGCTTATATTGAATTCTTCTGCACACCAGTCCTACCAGAAGAAGACTAAACTATTTATAATTTAAGTGATAGAATTGATATTGGAAGTCGTTTGATGAATCGGTGAACTCATGCTGAACCAGCAATGGAGTCGGGTCCTTCGCTTCCAGAACATGGCGCATTTGAGTAGTTCAACAAACCGAATAAATCACCCAATGCTGGTCCGGCATGAATTTAAAGTAATATATACCATGGAGGATTGTGATACAAACTTTTTTTTTTCTATTGCATTTTGTAACATACTTGTGATATTTTATTTTGTAATTAATAATAAACGAGTATCTTTACTCTGAAATATTTGACAACGAAAAAAAAAAATTTGAAATTTTAGTAATCGCAAGCCTATTCCTGCACATACTCTTCTTACCAATACTATTCAAACTATGAATAAGGATATTTATAACACTTATCGGTTCTCATGTTTGATCCAATGTTTACGCTTATGTATATTTCAATTCCATTTAAATCATTATACAAAGCAAATTAAGCAGTTTTAGATTTAAAAACAAAAACTAATGTAAATACACCCAGTTCACAAACCCTCAACACACAAATATTTATGTAATAGGCTCCATAATTTTCCACAAAAATAACTTTCATTGATTGGCATTTTGTAATCCACACAATCTTGTCTTGACTTATCTGCCAATTAAATAATTAAGTATGGTGTACATAAGACTCTATGATTTTTTTTTTTTAATCTACAGTTTTCCCTTTTGTCTCTCAGATTTTTATTGGTTAAGCTAGAAATTGATATTTTTCTGTCAATAAGCCAAAGAATCCCATTCCTGTTATTTAACTCTCATTCAAAATTGTACAATAAACATAAATTATTTATACACAATTTTGGCTGTTTATCATGCCATAAAATTGTTATTATAACAAGACTTCCTGTGGAAATCAATTAACTATTACATCCTCAGACATGTATGTCAACGCGGAAGATGCATGGGCTGCAACGCTAACGAATAATAATTTTTATGAAAATTCATGAGCCTATTACATATAATTGTGTGTTTAGGGGCTGTAATGATGATAGACTGGGGTGAATTTAAGTTAATTAAAAAGTTTAGATCTTTCCTGGGCAAACGACAATCAAGCAAGTTTTTTTTATATAATATTACTTTCATTAAGTTAATACATATTATTCTAAAATTAATTAACAACCATTTCAGTTTTTTATATAATAATTTCTTAATTATATTATTAATAATTTTAAGATAATAACTTTAAGGCCGTTAATAAACTTTGATTGATTAATAATATTAATTTTTACGAAAATTCATAAGCCTATTAAATATATTTGTATATTTAGGGGTTGTAGTCATGATAAACTTGGGTGGTTAATTAAAAAGTTTTGATCTTTCCTGGGCAAATTCTAAAATTAATTAACAATCAAGTCAGTTTTTTTTAATATAATAATACATTACTTATGCTATTAAGTTAATAAATATTATTCTAAAATTAATTAATAACCGAGTCAATTTTTTATATAATAATTTCTTAATTATATTATTATTAATTTTTACGAAAATTCATAAGCCTATTAAATATATTTGGGTGTTTAGAGGTTGCAATCGCGATAGACTGGGGTGGATTTAAGTTAATTAAAAAGTTTAGATCTTTCCTGGGCACAGTTTATACAGCAAATAAATATAAATAAATAATTAATTAATTAAGTTGGTCAATTATGACCGCTAAACATGTATAACATTAATTTTTAAGAAAATTATCTAGCATATTACATATATTTGTATGTTTAGGGGTTGTAATCATGATAAACTGGGATAGATTTAAGACAATGAAAAATTGCCTATAAACTGAATTGAAGAAATTAAACAAAATGGCCACAATTCATAAAAAAGTGGTGTATTCAAATTCGTTCCAGCGGAAACTCAAAAATTAATTAAGTCAGTTTTTTATGTAATAATTTATTAATTATATTATTAGTGTGTAGTGATTAGTGACCGTTAATCGATAATTATTCAGAAATCGTGAGATGCGGTCTGGTATGACGTAGGTTTCAGAAAAACATTTACTTTATCGTGCCAACGTTTCGATCTTTAGTGAGATCATCTTCAGGGCTCAAAGTGTTGTTTAGTGTTTGCATTCTTGCGTGTCGTGTTGAGGGTGCCTGGGCAAATAAACATTTTGAGCCCTGAAGATGATCTCAATAAAGATCGAAACGTTGGCACGATAAAGAAAATGTTTTTCTGAAACCTACATCATACCAGACCGCATCTCACGATTTCTGAATAATTATATTATTAGTAATAATTTTTATGAATATTCACAAGTGTTACATGTATTTGTGTGTCAAGGGGTTGTAATCATGATAGACGGGTAGATTTATGTTAATTAAAAAGTTAAGTTCTTTTCTGGGCAAAGTGTAAAATTAATTAACTATTAGGTCAGTTTTTAATGATATGATGATGGACTGGGGTGGATTTAAGTTAATTAAAAACTACATGTAAATTCAATTGGAGAAATTAAGAGAGTTTCAACACGACACACAATAATGACACATCTACACAAAAAACAAAGAGTTTGAGCCTTGAAGATAATCTCAATAAAGATCGAAACGTTGGCACGATAAAGCAAATGTTTTTCTAAAACCTACGTCACACCAGACTGCATCTCACGATCTCCAAATAATCATTATAACATTATAAAGAAAATGAAAGTTGTTTTTGGTTTTTCACAAATTCAAAATCAATTTTTTTTTCTTTTAGGAGTGCGCTAGGAGCTTATAATATATATCGTGGGCGTTCCTCACAGAGGATGGCGGTTGAACGTGGCTATTTAAATGTTTTCCTTGTTTTCCTAGCTTCAGTCATTCATCAGTAAATCCGAAAATTCTGGAACATGTTAATTTTCGCACTTTTTCAAAACTTCAAAAATTAAGCAGTGAAGCAAGGAAATCGTCCTCCGAGCGTCGCGCTACAGCAAACGATAGAAAATTTTAATAAGTTTTAACTAGATATTTTTATAACACCCCTTTCTAAAGCCAATAATCTTTTTAAAAAAGAAAAGCAAAGCCGTCTACCAAATTGTCCGATTAGTGTAATTGCAACATAAGAGGAAAGGAGTATGCACTGTGCATATATGCATGTCTATATTAACATATGAAACTATTTATTTATGGTTTTGTTGAAATGAAAAAGCTAGTGTAACGAGCGGGATTCGAACCCACGACCGGCTCAATACGCCGCTGCTCTAACTACTTGAGGCTATAGTGACGTCGATCCACTTGAGCCGAAGGTCGTGGGTTCGAATCCCGCTCGTGACTCTAACATTTCTCATTTCAACCAAAACCTTACGTAACAAGATTAATTATTTGAAAGAAGTAATTTGGTCAATCAGACTACTAAATATATAGTGGATATCAAACTATGCTTTAATCACTTAAATAAGTTTCTGGAGGTGATTTAAAAAGCGGTTAACGTGTACCGTAGCAAACGTTTCCTTTTTATTTTCAACACCGAATTGGCGTTATCTACCCTTTGGCTAAATAACATTTTTTGCCCAAAAATCTCGAATATCGCGATAACGGTTGAGAAAACGGGCAAAGTGGAAGGTGACCAAATTGAAAGCTTACTAAAATTTCTAATCGAATGCTATACGGCGGCGCTCCAGACGATTTCCTGGCTGCATAGCTTTTGGACAAAAAGCTTGGTTTTTTAGGGGCTAAAGGAATAAAAAACGATCACACTCTACCACTTTCTCGCGCTCTCACTCTCTCTCACTCTCTCTCTCTCTCTCTCTCTCTCTCTCTCTCTCTCTCTCTCTCTCTCTCTCTCTCACGATTTTACCATTCATAAACCTATTGTTTCAATACGTTATTCGAAGCCAAACTGCCACAACACATGTGAAATGGGAAGGAAAAGTTGAATTTTCCGTGATGAGGTAAACAAGCGGTTATTGCAGAATTCCGCATCCCAAAAAGTCAAAGTCGCTTCCCTGTTCGCTTTTTTTTTTTTAAAGTCCTCGGAATAAAAGTTGTAGAGCGTGAAATTTGCAAAAATATGACGGTACAAAATTTCTGGATTCTTCAAAATTGGAAGAGATTTTTCCATGAGCAAGTAAAATACCACGTTTTTGGCCAAAAATCGCGAATAACCCGAAAACTGTTGAGAAGTCGGTCAAAGTGGAAGTTTATTAAAGTTTTTTTTTTTTAATTAATTTATTTTTTACGAGGATTCGCAACAACAGAGGTCATATAAACCCTCAGGGTGTCGGTGTTTTTGAAAGAAAGCCTAAGTATGTCGGGTTCGAATGCAGGGCCGCTGGATTCGAACCCGGGACCTTCACCTTTGCGACCACCGACGCCCTAAAGCTTATTTATTAAAGCTCAATTAATTAATTGAAAGCTTATTGAAATTTCCTATCGATTGGTATAGGGCGCCGCTCCTACCTACACCGCTCAATTTGAAATTTTCATAAAAGTGCAAATATTAAGATGTTCCCGAATTTTTGAATGCACAGATGAATAACTAAAGCTAGGAAAATATTTTAAATTTTTATTTTTTTATTTTTTTTTATTAGTGAAATTTTAACCGACGCGCTGATCAACATCCACCATCTTTAATACTTTAATAGTTAAAGATTAAAGTTTATTTTTTATTAATTTTCTAATAGTTTCACTTGATTCCGTTGACAATAATTGATACTTTTTGCCTATTTTTAATTTTCATTTTTAAAAAGTTCAGTTCTAGATTCAAATATGACTGTTAACAAATACAAAGCTCAAAACGATTGTTATGTATACTTACAAGGATTTGGGAACGGTTTTTGGCAAGAAAGAAGGTGGCATGTCATCTATCAACCTTTGAAAATTCGGTTGTAATTTTCGTTATGTCGATAAACGTATGAATTCGACATCTCCAGATCTATTTATCACGGATGAAACAATTCATGAGTATGAGTTAAGTAAAAAGCTTTGAAATGTTAACATTTTCAGAGTTGTGTATTTTTCACATGTCACGACAACTAGGTAATTCAAGATTGAAGAATGTTAGAGTAGTGAGGAGAGCAGACACAGTAATTGTGGCCGACGATGTAGGCAAATTGTGAGCTGAGGGCTGTCAGTTCGTCTTTGACGAAGCCGAGAGAAGTTGGGATTTCGCTTGTCGCCTTGTCGTCGAGAACGCTGCGCAAAAAGTTTCCCACACGCATCTTGACAATATACTTGATTTTGCTGTCCGACATGATAAGTGACAACAGCTGGCTTGCCAAGCTCTTCAATTCATGCTGGGTGAGCGATGGCCGGTCAATTTTTTTCAACGCCCTGTTTGCGTCCTCCTTGATCTGTTCGACTATATCCGGAATTATCGACTTGAGCAGCGTGTCGTCGTTCACCTCGGACAAGAGTGTTTTGATTTTCGCCTTCAGGTTTTTCCTCATTTCCTTGTCGCGGTTGAGCTTGATCGGCATGAAAGTATAAGCGATGAACATTATCGAGGACAACATGATGACTCTGTAGTATTCGTTTTTCAAATAGGTCAGTTTTGGGAAGTCGAGGACGAGGGTTTCAGGGTACGACTCGTTCGGCCAGGTCAAAAGGTCCATGTACGCGTCGAACAGGACTTCCTTCATGTCCTTCTTCGGGTTTTTGTGTTTCTGCAGCCACGCTCTCGTTATCGGGAGGCCTTTGCCGAATCTGCAAATGTACTCGGCTAGTTTGGTCCGCTCGTAGTCCATGTCGTTGGCAACGACGTCCGGTTTGATCGCGGAAAGGGTGTAGTTGATCAAGTCGATTTTCATCAAATCCAGTGTTTCGACGATACCTCTGAAGATCTTGACCGGAACCTTTTCCTGGGCGAGCTTGAGTATGTCGCTATCGCGGATGGGAGCGCAGATCCTCTTCATCACGGAGATCACGCTGTTGGCGTACAGCTCCAAGACAAACGTGCCTTCTTCGACTTTGGCTTTGATGTCCTCCTGGTCGAGGAGTCTGTTCACATCCGCTTTCATCTTCTTTACGTTCGGGGTCATGACGGAAATGAGCTTTTCTCTGATTTCGTCCAATAGGACGTAAGCCATGTCTAATTTCGGCGGGTCCTGTTCCAGTTCCTCCTGAAAAGCGTCCCAGAACGCCTGGTGCATCTGGAACTGTATGGAGTCGCGTAGGGGGGATTCCGAGTGGTAATCCGACGACGTCGTAGCCAGAACCCTGTCACACAGAGCCATTTCGTGAGCCAAGCTAAGATTGCGGATGAGGTCTTCGCCGTCTGAGTAATCCCGGTCGTCGACTCCATTTTTTCTACCTTCACTCTCTGGGTTACGAAACATTCTATGGTAATCCAAACAAATAAGGACTAAAATTTTTAAACAAATCTACACAAGCTAGACGGAACATATGGTGTTTAAAATATCAAGATATTGACGATTACGATTTAAACAAAATCTATCACATCTTACCACAGTCTAAAACCTCCTCCTGATAAATGTTTATACTGGCATTTAAGCAATTCGTTCAGTATTTACGACAAAATCAATTACTTATTAATCGGTGCGATAGTCCTAATAGCAGGATCAGAACCTGCAGAATAAGTTTTCCCCATTCGTTTCGGTCTTCGTCCTTACAACCGTCTGTCGTAGATCCTCCTTCACATCGTCCAACCACCTAATCCAGGGCGTAGTAGTTCAAAATCACCGTAGTAAGTTTTTCAACTTTGAAAATGAAAAGTTTCAAAATTCTCCCTACCAAAATACTTTGTAGGTTTTCAATGTTTTTAATCAGTACGCACTTCACGTTGTAAACGATTTATTTGTTTATACGTTACAAGTTTTACAACAGCCAAAGCACTTCTAACCGCCACTTACTTTTCTGTCGCCACTCTTGAGCAGTGTTGCCCCACAACTTATTTTACGAACGTTTACAAGTTAATTATTTATCACATATTATTAGAAATTTAACATAGTTTTCAATGGTATCAATAGATTTGTCCAAAACCGAAATTAGGACGTTTTCGTTCCATTTTGAATGAAGAATCTACAGGAAAAATTTGTAACACGAGTAGTCAAACAGCCTGTATATCATCTACGTATTTATTGAGAAAGGGTAATGTAAAAGGAAGTTGTGGTATAAGTGTGACATGTGTCATAATTATATCTGCAAGTGTCCTATGTTGCTACCCATAGCTATGCCCCATAGTTGTTTGTACAAATGATTTTTCACTTTTTCTGAATCATATACAGTAGAAATCTTAAACGAGTTGAAGATTTGTAAAAATTACAAATTGTGATGCATGTTTAAAAAGATAATTTTTAAATTGTCCCTGACCAAAGGAGATAGAGGATTGAAGAGGGTCGAGAGGAATGGGAATAATCTGGCCAATGATATCGTTACCATCCCATAATAATTACTGTTAAGAGGTGGTGGGTTGTGTTGTCTGGCGGTCAGTCTTCACCCACCCCCCGGAACCCCGTGCTTACAAACTCTCCCTTCAGCACCTAATGAGATTTGTCGAGAACCGGGTCAGAGAGCACCCTTGACCCACACTCTCATGTCAATGAACCATTTCCCGCCGACAAAACGAGAGATCGTCCACCCATTCGAAACACGACAGAGATCCGTCCTTATGACCGATAGACTCGGGAAGTCACGGTGTTTAAGACGGGAAAACAACTTTAAAATGGAACTAAAAATGTTTTGTTGATGAAAAATGTATAGGAAAAAATATTTACACAGGCATTGCATACAAAGTATAAACATGAAAATTAAATCCATTACAGTTCGTGGCCCAATTGACCAATTAACATTTTTCAATTAATTAATATTTATGAAAGGTATTGGTCTAGATAAAAATGGCAAAAAGGATGGAAAATTCGAAAGGTGGGGTTGAGATGGGAAGTTGGTGTCCGACTGGGTCGAAGTCACAATAGCTAAGTGGCTAGAACAGGGGTGTAATAAGCCGACGGTCGTGGGTTCGAATCCCGCTCGTGACACTGGCTTTTTTATCTTGACCAATTCCTTTCATAAATATTAATTAATTGAAAAATGAAAATTAAAGTTAAAAGTTAAAGACCAAAAATAATCTCAACAAATCCAGGTTTTGGTCGAAATTAATAAAAGTTGTCTCATTTTCCGGATAAATTATCTAAACCCATCAACGATCAATTCTTTAAATATCGTGCTCATAATAAAATTTTATGATTATTTGAAGATCATGAGATGCGGTCTGGTGAGACGAAGGCTTTAGAAAAACGTTTTCTTTATCGTGCCAACGTTTCGACCTTTACTGAGATCATCTTCAGGGCTCAAAGTTTTTTGTGTAGATGCGTCATTACTGCGTGTCGTGTTGAGAGTGCCCAAAAATTTTATATTATTAATCTCTCTCTCTCTCTCTCTCTCTCTCTCTCTCTCTCTCTCTCTCTCTCTCTCTCTCTCTCTCTCTCTCTCTCTCCCATCCCACCGTCCTTTCTTTCACTCTCTCTCACTCACTCTCAAATTTTACATTGGACTACCAATGTTTTTCATTTGGTAATGNCCTCCCTCCCTCCCCCTCTGTCGCCCCCTCTCACTCACACTCTCTCTCTCACTCACTCTCCCACCCTCACTCAATCCCTCTCGCTCACTCCTCTCTCTTTCTATCTCTCTCTCTCTCTCTCTCTCTCTCTCTCTCTCTCTCTCTCTCTCTCTCTCTCTCTTTCCTTCTATCTTACTTACTTTTATATATTATCGAGATGAATCTATATTTAAGTCGTACACATATTGTGTCAATTATACGTTAGGTATAACACTTGTAAAATGGTCCATGAGATTGAACTTTTCATACACATCATCATCATTATTTTGATCACGCATGTACTCCCTCCCGCTAGACTCCCTCTCTCCCCTCACTCTTTCTTCCTCTCTTCTAAATTTTGCAAGTAGTTATGTACATATATATATTTTTTGTTGTTCATGCATTATACTCCGTGACAGAATGTATGCTGAACTTGGATCCGTATATAAAATATTTTAAAAAATACCAATATTTAAAGTACCAAGAACAATTTTGAGAAAGTTCAAACTGCCACGAAAAGGAATAATTGCCAATTGGATCCAGTTAAACGCTTTAAGGCAAGTAAAGAGGCTGGCAAAAGCTCAACCTAAAAAATCTTGCCTTTTACTAAAAATTATCGGTCATTGTTAGTTACACAGGGCGGAAAAATACTTGAATGGGTTATTGTACAATATTTTTTTTATTTTTTTATTTTTTTTTAGCAAATACTTCAGTTCAAGGTATAGTTCTAAAATTCCGTACGTTTAGCAATATTACGGTGTATTTTGGTCGTTCGAGGTCTGCCTATTATTGTCGGATCGGCGTCCTCGATAGATAAAACAAATCCTAAAGGTAAAATTGCACTTTCACCGGCCCAACCAAACCCATCAATAGTTTACTTCTTCACGTCGAATTTTGGCGGGAACGTAAAATTAATCCAGAAGAAGTCATACCAGCGAGGAGTGAGCGAGAACGACTTCTTTCTCCGGGCAAGCTTCAAAACAAAATATGAGCAGCATGACTATATAATATGATATCAAGTCGGTACAGCTAAGAAATTTTATATAAATAGTTAGTGGAGAAAATAAAATACATATTTGGTACGTTTCGGCATCATGCCTCAATGGGCTCATTCCTTAATCTGAGTCTCAATATTACATATCAAAAATCGATTTATTTTATGCAATGACAGCTCCTTTCTTTTGATTTCAGTAAATGGATCTTTAATTTCATTATTTTTTAAGTATGAATTATGTTCAATAAAAATTGCACTTTATAAAGCAATTTTACGCTCGATGTCTAATGAAATAATTTCATACTTTTTTGTTTAATTGCATAAAGCCTACATCATCGGAATGTACAAAAAAAAATGCCTAAACTTGCACAAAATTCGATTTTCACAAAGGACGGAGTTCAATTACTCAAAAAGCAAGATAGAAATTGGCCACCGCCCAACGGACGATTTTTCCGGATAAATTGACTTCGGCGTAAAAGTGAAATTTTCAGACGGTTCTGCGTTACCGTCCGATTCGAAGGAGTTGCCGCACAACCCGAAAGGGCGCAGCACCGACCCGGCATGCCCTAAAACCCTTCCACACTTCGTCCTAGCACAAACTCACATCCACTCATACTCATTTTGACATTCATTGTAAAATTTTATACAGCTGTATGAAGAGATTTGAAAACCGAACAATCAATTCTCTGAATAAAAAAAACTCGCAAGAAATTACCAAAATAAATTAAATTTAAATAAAAATTAAGCAATCAATGTGAAGGATAGTTCAGCCCATCAAAACTTTGAAGGATATATAAATCCAAAATAAATATTATTTTACAAGATTCAATCCATTTTAATACAATTTTTTTTAACTTCAGGTTTTTAATATTATCTACGTTTTATACCGAAGATAGTAAAATAAGTTATCCAGGAAAAAATATGTTTTTTTTTGCTTCTTTTAATTATTTATAGGATTTTATAGCTTATCGATGTTCCTTTGATGACGTTCCACGTGTGCCTGCCCAGTTTCAGGTACGAAATTTCACCACTGGAGGAAAAAGGACTAAGTAGTACTTAGCCGTCCCACGATGGTGCTCTGCCGGTGCTTTTCGCCCGCCCGAATAAGCACGTGCTCCTGTCCCAGAACGTTGACGGCTCGTGCCAGTATAATTTGTCCGGTAAATTAGAAAAAAAAAGTGCAAAGTATAGAAACTTTGCATAGACATCTATCCCGACCATTTGATCCGTGGATAACCGCCCATTTAACCAATAATTTAATTAAAAATTAACTCTTCAGTTAAACATCATGTCTACATGAATTCAATTGCTATTATCAGTTGTATATTTTCGCATAGAAACATTGTTTGCTTTTTCCATCGCGGTCTAACAACGAATGACGGTCATCTCGCTTCAGTGTTTCCCAACATGGGGCCAATTTTGAAAATAACTCGTTTAGATTTTGAGTATAAAGAAATCTAGACGATAGTGGCATGCAATTAGTTGAAATTAAAACACTATTTAGCAGTACGCTCAGTTTGTCTTATTAGTTGTTCCATGGTTGTAAGAACGAAAAATAGACATAATAGGTAAAACAGGAAATATAAGAACAACTCGACAAATTAATAAGAATTTTGTTAAAAAGACTATGGATACATCGACGAGCCGACGAGACATACAAAGACCGCATTAATTATTAATTAGCGGAAGACACCGCCAAGAACAAAGGCCTAATCACTCATTTTCGATTAAATTTCACGAGACCTTTAAAAAAATTTAGTAGGACACATTGAAAATGGCAAAATGCTGAAACTCGTCTGACCAATACAGCAAGGATAAGCAGACCAAAATGATCGGTAAAAACTAGATTTCAGGTTTCATTATTTTACTACTCCGCAGCATACTTAATAATGTAATTATTTAATTGTTTTAATTAGGTTCTATTGTGGTTTTGTGAACTTAGTATCTGTTGAACTATTTATATAATCCAATATGTTTAGTGGTCTGATTGGATGAAATTACTTCTTTCAATTAATTATTCTTTTTGTGTAAGGCTTTGGTTGTAATGAAAAAGTTAGTGCCACGAGCGGGATTCGAACCCACTACCTTCGGCTCAATACACCGCTGCTTTAACCACTTGAGCTATCGTGACTTCGATCCACTCGGACACCATCTTTCCATCGCAACTTACAACCAT